AAGGGGGAAAGGGGAGGTAGCTTCCGAAGCCCCCCCCCGTTTGAAAAGGGGAGCCCGGGCTGACCATCATTTCCTGAGAATAAGGGGATGGGGGGGCATGGACCCCCCCTTTAGCCAAGGCCCCCCTAGCTCAAAAATGCAGCCCACATTAGGAGGGAAGGGGGGTAGTTTCGGAAGCCCCCTCCCTTTTCCAGAGGACGGGGGGGGAAGGCTTGAAACCGGGGCCCCCATGTCAGGAAGGAGTGCTCCAAGAGCGCGCTCGTTCATTTGCGTGCATAGAACATGCATATACTGTAAACATGTATACATATACAAATACATAAACAGAGAACGGGGGAAAAAAATGCGATTGTGTGTGATGTCGAAGTTCCGGGTTCCGTGAGGCCCAAATCGTGAAAAGTTCGCGCCATCGACGGCATGGGATCGAGAACTAGGACGAGGCCGAACGTGGCGGGATGGGAGAGAGAACGGAGAGGGAGGGAGGGAGGGAGGGAGGGAGGGAAGAAGCGACAGACGGATCGGGAAAGAGGGGTTACGGGTCGGGAGAGAGCGGGAGAGGACGGGAAGCAGGAGGCAAGGGCAGGAGGGAGGCTACCTCTTCGAGAACGATGGATGTTTTTGTTTGTTGTTTCTCTCTCTCTCTTTCTCTCTCTCTCTCTCTCTCTCTCTCTCTCTCTCTTATATATATACATTTGTTTATATACATATCTATATCCATATATAAAAATACATATACATATACATGTGTGTAAGCATGCAAGCCCTTCCCCTAACATGGCAAATCTCCAACCTAACCTGACCCAGGCCCTGTCAACACTGGGCCACAGCTGACCTGACCCATTAAAGCTAACGTGACCAACGGCTCGGCGACACCGGTGTGTGACACGCGCGCTGTAGCAAATGATGCACGATCATGTTACGGTGTATACACATATAGAACAGATACACGTACTGACGTCATGAGACACCCCTAGGCTGAGGCAACTTGTAGGTTCGATGGCATATTGGAGGCTCAGTGCCTTTGGGGAGCCTCTAATCGGTCTACGGGGGTCTTCGGTGACCATCGGGTCCTGCGGTTGGGTCTCGGGGCCGCCTGAAGGGCACCTATGGGGGAAGAGGAGCACCCCGCGGACCGCCAGCACCGACGCTACCATCCTTGTGGGCCCGAAGCTAGCCGAAGAAGAAAGTCCAGGGGCGAAAGGGAGGAAGGGGCGGAGGGAAGGCAGAAGGGCCGAGGAAGGGATGGACTGATGCAAGGAGGTGGGGAAGGGAGGGGGGAGGAGAGGGAATGTGCCCAGAGGTTGGCAAGAGAGGGAAGGGGAGAAACGGGGAAGCTGATGCGGGAGGCGCGGCCGGAGGAGCTGAAGAGACGGCGGCCCAGGGCAAAGCTGGCGAGCCAGGGAAAGGCCGCACGACGGAGCCGGCGAAGCACATGCTGCTTTCTGCATGGGACAACGCCGCGGGTGAGCTTTCTCTTGGCAGAAATGAACACGCCACGACGTTCGCTGGCGGCCTTGCGCGTGCTCGGAGCGGCCATCAAAAAAATCGGCGCCGCGCGCGAGCATCCTGTGCCGGCAATTTTGACCGAAATGATGCTCGCTCGCGGCCCTGCCCGTGCTCGGGCAACAATGGCGAGAGGACAGGGAGAAGGAGGGATGCGGAGTGTAGGTACGGAGGGAAGCGGATGACGAGGGAGGAAGAGGCCTTCCTTCATCATCACTACCGTCTTCGTCATCGTTACCATCGCCATCATCATCATCATCGCCACCACAAGAATACAATGCCGTTACCAAAGCTTTGACCATTCCGTCGACGGACCCCCCTCCCCCCATAGAGTCCTACAACATGGCATCCGCCTGTCGCGGAGTAGGTTTCGGATCCCGCCCACACCGTTTCTCCGTAGCAGTAAAGATTTATCACGGTGTACAAACTTACTCCGCACGTTTTTTGACGTGGATTAACTTACTCCGCGTTCTTGCTGAACTTACTCCGCTGTGTTTTAGCTGAAGAAAACTTACTCCGCGTCCTCCGAAGCTTACTCCGCCTGTACTTTTCGAGGGTGAGCGGCTTCAGATCTGCATGGGCATATGTCCGTCGTTCAGTTTTGCCCGAGGGCACGCTGGCCGCAGGTCCGGCCTTGGGATTTGCAAGAATGGTCAAAAACTTTAGTAACGGCAGAGAATGTATAATGAAAATAAAAATGCGAATACTAATAATACGAATAAGAACACGAATGCGAACAATAAGACTAATACTCATAAGGATACTGGTTAACTATAATAACAATACTAACAATAATGATGGCCTTAACAATCATATGATACTGAAAACAAAAACCATAGCACTATTAATACTAAGAATAATAACAACACTGATAATAAGGATAACAATAAGAAGAACAGGAATAATCCTAATGAAAACAATAATCATCATCATCAGCATCAGCATCATCAGCATCAGCATCAGCATCATCATCATCAGCATTAGCATCAGCATCAGCATCATCATCAGCAGCATCATCATCAGCATCATCATCGTCAGCAGCATCATCATCGTCATCATTATCATCATCATCATCATCATCATCATCATCATCATCAGCATCATCACCATCACCATCACCATCGTCATCCTCGTCATCCTCATGTCATCCCCCTCCCATCCTCCTGCTCCCCGCTCCTCCTACTCCTCACATCCTCATGCTCCTTTTCCTCCTCCTCCTCCTCCTCCTCCTCCTCCTCGTCCTCCTCCTCCTCCTCCTCCTCCTCCCTCCTCCAGCCCCTGTTCGTCATTCCTCCTCCTTCCCCCTCCTGCGCATTGTTTCCTCCTATTCCTTATGGTCATTATCCTCCTCGTCTTCCCTTATCCTCGTTCTCAACTTCCTCCTACTCATCCTCGCCCTCCTCGCCTGCTGGCCTTCTCCTACTCCTCCCTCCCCATCGCTCCCTGTTTCTCCTCGTCCTCATCATTCTCCCTCCTGCCTCCCCCTCCTCCTCCTCCTCATCATCATCATCCTCTTCCTCCCTCTCCTCATCATCAGAATCATCCTCATCCTCATCTTCCTCATCATCAGCATCATCATCCTCATCCTCATCCTCATCCTCATCATCATCATCATCATCAGCAGCATCATCATCGTCATCATAATCAGCATTAACATCAGCATCAGCATCGTCATCATCAACATCATCATCATCATCAGCATCATCAGCATAATCAGCATCATCATCAGCATCATCATCGTCATGTCGTCGGCATCAACATCGTCAGCATCATCCACATCATGATCATCCCCATCATCAGCATCATCAGCATCATCAGCATTAGCATAAGCATCATCATCAGCTGCAGCATCATCATCATCATCAGCATCATCATAAGCATAATCAGAATCATCATCATCATCAGCAGCAGCAGCATCACCACCATCAACGTCAACATCAACATCAACACCATCAGCAGCATCATCACCATCATCATTAGCACCCCAAGCATCGCCACCAGCATCATCAGCATCATCAGCCTCAGCATCATCATGATCATCAGCAGCAGCATCACGATCGGCATCATCACCGTCAGCCGCAGCAGCGGCAGCGTCATCATCATCAGCATGATCATCAGCATCATCATCATCACCATCATCATCCTCATGATCATCATCCTCATCATCATCAGCATCAGCATCATCATAGTTGTCGTCATCATCAGCAGCATCATCATCAGCATCATCATCATCATCGACATCATCGTCCTGATCATCATCATCATCATCATCATCATCATCATCATCATCATCATCATCATCATCAACACCATCATCATCGTCATAGGCGTCGTCGTCATCATCAGCAGCATCGTCAGCGGCGTCGTCATCATCAGCATCATCATCACCATCATCGTCATCACAATCATCGCCGTCAGCATCAACATCATCAACATCATCAGCAGCAGCATCATGATCAGCATCATCATCGTCAGCCGCAGCAGCGGCAGCGTCATCGTCATCATCATCATCATCATCATCATCATCATCATCGATATCATCATCCTGATCAGCATCATCATCATCAACACCATCATCGTCATCGTCAGCATCGTCATAATCGTCGTCATCAGTATCGTCATCAGAATCGTTTACACCACCACCACCACCATCATCATCATCTTATCCTCATCATCGTCATCCGCATCATCATCATCATCGTCATCATCAGCATCAGCATCATCAGCATCAGCTGCAGCATCGTCGTCATCGTCAGCACCGTCATCACTATCGTCATCATCAACAACATCATCATCATCATCAGCAGAATCCACAACATCATAGTCGCCCTCGTCGTCAGCATCATCGTCACCATCAGCGTCATCAGCATCATCAGCAGCAGCACCACGAGCATCATCATCTCCACCAACACCATCATCATTATCCAACTCGTCAGCATCCGCATCCGCATCAGCATCATCAGCAGCATCATCAGCATCAGCACCATAATCAGCATCAGTATCATCGTCATCATCATCAGCATTAGCATCAGCATTGTCATCAGCGTCATCAGCATCATCGTCGTCATCGTCATCGTCATCGCCATCGTCATTTGCATTACCACCATCATCATCATCATCATCATCATCATCATCATCATCACCATCATCATCATCATCATCATCATCATCATCATCATCATCATCATCATCATCATCATCATCATCATCATCATCATCATCATCATCATCATCCCGATCATCATCAGCAGCATCATCAGTATTAGGAGTATCTCCCTCATCCTCATTCTTGTCCTCATCCTCATCCTCATCACATGCATATCTTCCTCGGAGGAGGTCTGTCCAGCAAGCGTCGGTAAAGAACGCATTGCGGGTACGGGTGTGCGACCGCAACGAGGCGGCGATTCCATTGGATTCAGACCAGCGTGCATTCAACATGCTGGAGCCCAGCAAACTGAAAGGCTCTCGGACGTGAGGCTGCGTTGGACAAAGCCCCCTCAGAACTCGTCCCCGTAGCCTTCCTCCTCGCCCTCCCCCTCGGCGGTCTCGATGCCAACCTCCTCGTAGTCCTTCTCCAGCGCGGCCAGATCCTCGCGGGCCTCGGAGAACTCACCCTCCTCCATGCCCTCGCCGACGTACCAGTGTACGAACGCGCGCTTGGAGTACATGAGGTCGAACTTATGGTCGATGCGCGAGAACACCTCTGCGATGGCCGTGGAGTTGCTGATCATGCAGCACGCGCGCATCACCTTGGCCAAGTCACCGCCAGGCACCACTGTGGGCGGCTGGTAATTGATGCCGCACTTGAACCCCGTGGGGCACCAGTCCTTGGCGGGGCGCAACAGGGGGACGGGTCGTGGGCGGGCGACCTTGTAGGAAGAGGGGGCTTCTCGGAAGGGTTCGCTGGCTTAGAAGACTTCTTAGAAGCCAACAGGGCTCCTGAGAAGCGTGCCTTCCCCCCTCGCGCAAACCCTTTTCGAACGCGACCGAGATCCACAAACTGGATCGTGCGCTTCGTCTTGATCGTCGCGACCGACGCGTTCACGTCCTTGGGCACCACGTCGCCGCGGTACATCATGCAACACGCCTAGGAGTGCGAGAATTGTGCACAAACACCGATCCTGCACAGGCCCATCCTGAGCCCTGGACCAATGCATTCGCCTTCCTGGCTTGCTTAGGGGGGCACAAATATTGATCCTCGGACCAAAATAGGCCCAGACTGGGTGAGTGCATGTGAACAGTTCATATCGCCAAAGCGCCATGTACTTACCGTGGCGGGGGTCGCATTTGACGAACATCGACGCAGGCTCGAAGACGGACATGGTGATCTCCGCCACGGAGAGCTGCTCGTGATAAGCCTTCTCTGCGGAGATCACTGGCGCGTAGCTCGAGAGCATGAAGTGGATGCGGGGATACGGCACCAGGTTGGTCTGGAACTCGGTGACGTCCACGTTGAGAGCGCCGTCGAAGCGCAGCGACGCGGTCAGCGAAGAGATGATCTGGGCCAAAAGCCTGTTCAAGTTGGTGTAGGTGGGGCGTTCGATGTCGAGATTCCGCCTGCAAATGTCGTATAACGCCTCATTGTCGTACATTATAGTAACGTCCGTGTGCTCCAGCAAAGAGTGCACGCAAAGCACAGTGTTATAAGGTTCCACCACCGCCGTGGCAACCTGCGGGCACGCCCACACCGTGAACGAGATCTTGGTTTTCTTGCCGTAGTCCACCGACAGGCGCTCCATCATCAGGCAGCCCAGCCCAGATCCGGTTCCTCCGCCGACGGCGTTGTAGATCATGAATCCCTGGAGTCCTGTGCAGTTGTCGGCGAGCTTGCGAATGCGGTCCAAGACGAGATCAACGATCTCCTTGCCGATCGTGTAGTGGCCGCGCGCGAAGTTGTTGGCCGCGTCCTCCTTCCCAGAAATCAACTGCTCGGGATGGAAGAGCTGGCGGTACGTGCCAGTGCGGACCTCGTCGATCACGGTGGGCTCCAGATCCACGAACACGGTGCGCGGGACGTGCTTGCCCGCGCCAGTCTCCGAGAAGAAGGTGTTGAAAGCGTCGTCGCCGCCTCCGATCGTCTTGTCGGAAGGCATCTGCCCGTCAGGCTGAATGCCGTGCTCGAGGCAGAAGAGCTCCCAGCAAGCATTCCCAATCTGAACTCCAGCCTGGCCGATGTGGATGCAGATCGCCTCACGCATGGTGCTGTGCGCAGGCAGGTGTCGGGGGGGGTGAAGCCGCAGGAAGAGACAGCCGCGCAATGTCGCTGTCTCGAGTGCGCCTTTGCCGCCTGAGCCACATGGGTACGAAGGGGCAGCTGGAAACACGTGGACGCAGATCGCCTCGCACGCCGTAACGAGAAAGCCCGGTGGACAGACTGGCGTGACAGTCTTAATCCCTGACGTATGACGGAAGAACAAAGAAGCACCATCATCATAAACTAGAACCATCGCGCGCGCTTCGACTGGTTCTTTTGCACCGCCGGAGAGTGAGCGCAATCGAAGCGGTCTGAACGGAAGGGGAAACGGGAGGGACGAAAAGGGAGGGGAAGGGGAGCACACTGCAGATACTGTGGGAGGGCCACCACATGGCTTTTGGAAATTCGGGGAACACTCAGTTCGCGCATGGCGGGCCCGAACCAGCGCAGGAGCTTACGGCAAGTGAGGGGGGGGGGGATACACAGCAACGAGCTCGTCGGACAGAATGAGAGCAGAAGGGCCAGCGAAGGAAACGAGAGGCGGGGGGGGAGGAGAAGGAAGAGGCGGAGAGGAGGAGGAGGAGGAGGAGGGGAGAGGAGGAGGAGGAGGAGGAGGAGGTAGGGGTGGAGGAGGGGAGAGGAGGAGGAGGAGGAGGGGGTGGAGGAGGAGGAGGAGGAGGAGGAGGAGGAGGGAGGAGGAGGAGGGAGGAGCAGCAGGAGGACGAGGAGGAAGAAGGGGGGAGGAGGAGGAGGAGGCGGAAGCGGCGGTGGAGAGCCTAGCCCTCCCCCCGAGAGGCGAGGCGCGGATCGCCTCATGGCGCCGCGGCGGTGCCCCAGCGCGCGCCCGCGGGCGCGGGCAGCGCTGGAAAAAGGAGAGCCGTCGCGGCTGCTGGCGCGGAGAGGCTGCGCCACCACCGCCGCCAGTGCTGCCGCCCGCGGGTGCTCTTCCCGTCTCCTCCTCGCTCCTGCTAGCTCCTGGTCGCTCCTGGTCGCTCCTCGTCGCTCCTCCTCCTCCTCCTCCTCCTCCTCCTCCTCCTCCTCCTCCTCCTCCTCCTCCTCCGGCCTTCAGACGATGGACGACTTCAGGCCAGCGTTCGGGTCTACTCTCCGCAGCATCTCACCGAAGCGGCCACTGGACGTTGCGTCTGCGCGTCTTGCACAGGCGATCCTGGGCTGGGTGTTATCCCATTCCCTCCGCCCAGAGACCCCCTAGCTGTACCCCGCGCGCCCCTGCCCCGCGACCGCCCCCGCTGGTTGCCGCGCCCCCAAAAAAATCCACTGGGAGCTGCCTCCGGCCCACTCGGAGCAAGATCGAGTCGCAAGACGAGGCCCCCATGCCGCCCCCGCTCGCCTCCCCGGGGCGGGCGGGCGGCGACAGCCACCGAGCGCGATGGCGCCAGGGCCGCTTCGGCAGCTTCGCCCAGGGGATCCCCGAGCGGCTCGCCTCTCCTGGAGGGACATGCCAGGCGGGCGCTGCTTGGCCCGTTCCAGATCACCAGCCAGCATGCATTTATGCGCACACATAGGTGCTGCCTTGTGCGCATCTCCTCGACTGGCCCTACGACCACCCCCTGGCCAGGGTCAGGCAGCGGCCGCTCTCCCTTCGTCGGCCCGCGCGCGCCAGCGTCGCCCCTGGTACAGACGCAGTCTCCAAAGTTGACGGCGGGGGCAGGTCCCCGGTGATCCCTGAGACACTGGGCTTCCCCAAGGGGAGGTACCCTCGGCGTTTCCTGCGGCCGCTAATAAGGCGCACATCCCCGTCGGAGCTGGGGGCGCATTCGTCGGGCTGCTCGCCGGGCGAGGACAGGGGCGGAATGCCGGCTCTGCGGGGGTCGTCTTCCCAGTCTGGGTTTGGTCGGGCGCTGGCACTGCGGCCGACCTCCCCGCCCCCAGGACCCCGGCTCTGGCTGGCGACCTCGACCGCCCGCGCAGAGTCCGCTGGGGCTTGGTCGCTGCCCCATCTGGGCGGAAAGCCTCGCAGCTCTGCCTCGTCAGATGCGGGCGCCTCTTCCAAACTGCTTGGGCCAGCAAGCTCCTGGGTCGCGCGGCTGTCCTGCTCTCGGCCGGCACTCGGGGGAACCGCGGTTTGCGCGGGCACCGTTCTTGCGTCAGTGGGCGCGCCAGGTT